TGTAGCCTGAGCAACCTTTTCCACTCCAATTCCCCAATGCCTGCTGCTCTCTGTCCCACACAACTGTGTGTTCACAGTGCCCAGCTTTTTGAGGTGTGGTTCCACCCATCTACTCTGCCTTACCATCTCTCTTCATCTTTGCTTAGAAATCGTTTCCCATGTCTGAGTTAGCTCTTGGTTCCTGTATTGGTCAACTTTTCAATACTATACAGAATACCTCAGACTGGGGATTTAGCTCAGAGAGTAGCTAGAGAGCTTGCCTAGCACATGCAAGGCATGTTCAATTCCTAAACAAGGGTGGGAGACTATAAAGGCTACTTTTTTTTTTCATAAAGGCTACTTTTTAAAGACAAGAGATTTATTGTGACAGAAATGAGAGGCTGTGTTTGGTGTGGTCTTGTTGGCAAAGTGTCAAGGCAGCTCAGGGCAGCACATGGCAGGAGACAGGAACAGCACGTTGTCTGTGCGCTGTTTGGTCTCTCTCTTCTTATAAAGCCACCAGTATTCAATCATGGTGGCTCTGCCCTAAGGACCTTATCTAATTCTAATCACCTCCCAAAGGTCAGAGTCAGATTAAATTGGTGCTTAGTATTTCCCAGTGGAGATTAAACTCCAGCAGGAGCTTGAAGGGACCAACCATATCTAACCAGGTCTGCACTGCTCTTATATATAAGGCCCTATTACTGTACTTGTAACACCACATTATACTTTTTGATATAATAATAGACTACTTGTCTGTGGTTTTAACTACAGCCTTCATCTCTATAGGGCCTGGAGGACAGTAGGAACTTAATACATTCATTTAATGAATGGGATAAAAGTATACAATTTACATCTAAATCTGTAAAATAGGGCTAGGTTGTAGCCAGCCTGAAGATTCAGGATCCTTTGATATTTTCTCCATCTTCATGAACCAAAACTAACATAACTATTGAATTTGTTCATAAGTAACAGACTTCAGGAATGTACTTTATAGGCCTTTTTTTTTTTTGCAACTTCATTAATAGTTGTCATAGTTTAGATCTAAAATGTCCCCCCAAAGTCTCATGTGTTCAGAGGTAGGAATTTCAGAAAGTAAATGGATCACAGGGCTATAACTTCATTAGTGGATTGATCCTTTGATGAGATCCTAATCCCATAGCACTACTGAAAGGTGATAGAAACAGGAGGTTGAGTGTAGTTGAAGGGAGTGGATCATGGGTGTGTGACCCTGGGGACCACATCTGGTCCTTGGTCCCTTTGTCTCTGGTCTTTCCTTGCTCTCTCTGATTCCTGGCTGCCATGAGGTGAGGAGTTTTCCTGTACCACACCCTCCAACAATGGTATTTCTGCTTTGAAGCTAGCCAATCATGGACTGAACCCTCTGAAATCATGAGCCAAAATATAACTCTCCTCCTTTAAATTGTGTGTCAGTTATTTTGTCCCAGTGTCACAAAGCTAGCACAAGTTTTATTCAAAGCTATCTGACTGAGTTTATTTGCCTGGATACAGGATTAGTAATTGAATATGTTAACATTTTCTACTAAAATCAGAGATTTCTTGCCAAATGAAATCTATCATTATGAAGAGTCTCCCTTACCTTCAGTAGTGTTTTTTTTTTCTTAGAGTCTACTTAATCTGATATTAATATAGTGATGCCAGCCTTGTTTTTGGTAGTATTAAATGGGTTAGGTTTTTCCCATCCTTTTATTTTCAAAGTTTCTACATTTTTATATTTTGAGTATGTCCCTTCTAAACAGCATGTAGTAGGGTTTTCATTATTTGCCCTGTCTGACAATTCCTGGTAGTTGGTTACAGCCCAGATTTATTCCATCTCTTAGTATTTATAACCTTAGATAATTCCCTCCCCTTGATTCAAGGATGGGCCTATAATGTTTTGTTTTGGCCTTGAACATACTATGTAGCCCAGGCTGGCCCCAAACTCATAGCAATCCTCTTGACTCACCCTCCCTAGTGCTGGGTGCGTGCAGCATACACCTGGCAGTGTGTGTCATCTGACAGAACTGGAAGAAGTGACAGTGTGCTAGTTTCAAGCCTAATCCTCTTGAGAGCCTGGGGAAAGTGTGTAAGAAGTCAGCCTGTACCTCCAAGGAGACAGTGTGGAAAGGCCATCTGGAGACAAGTCTTGAATCTACCTATTGAACAATGAAAGAACCCAGATGACAGTGAGAACCAACACTCACATGATCTCAAACTGTTCCAGCTACCTCCAAGCCATTGGAGCCAGGTGCCAGGCATGAGTGCAAAGCAATCTGAACCCATTCCTACTGGAACAAAAGGTCTAGGCTGCCTGCCTCTCCAGTACCAATATTCGAAAGACCAGTATTGGTAGAAAACACTGAGGTGGATTCCAGGCCAGCCCTGAGGAAGACAGATGGGCAGGCTCCTCAAAGCTCCATCTTCACCAGGCTCCAGAGCATGCAAGGTTTTCACGGGAAGTGAAGGAGGCAGTGAGGCTGCAGCAGCTTCTTCTCAGAGCTCCATGATGGATTCCAACCTCTGGCTAATTCCTAAGGTAAGGTGTTACAAAGGTCATCTGGGTTCCGTGACTCCAAGAAAGGTTTAGCAGTTGACATTTAGATGGGGCCTTCTCTTCAGCCAAAGGATTAGAGGGAGGTTGAAGGGCAAAAGGGAAGGGGAAGCCCCTGTTACACATCAGCCTAGCAGATATCTGGAGAAGAGAGGCACTGTCTCCATCATGTCCTATCTGATTACCCACAACTCATGGAAAATAACAGAATCCAGTATTAACCTACTAAATTTTTGGGTAGTTTGTTACATAGCAATTGATAAGCAAAAGAACTGTCATTAAACTAGGGTCTATTTTCCCTTAGTATAAGTAATGATACATTACCCATTATTTGGTTGGAGATGTAGCTCAGTGGTAGAGCATTTATCCAGCATGTACAAGGCCCTAGGTTTAATCCCCAGCACCAACAAACCAAACCAAACAAACAAAAATCTAGCTTCTTTCTTTTGCAGTGCTGGAGGATCAAACGCAGGGCCTCATGCATGTTAGGCAAGTGCTCTACTTGAGCTGTAAGTCCCAAAACTACTTTCTATTTGGCTGTCCTATGTGCTGATTCTTCTTATATCTTACATTTAGATTGTTGTTTTTTATTACTCCATTTCCTCCCACCTCCTTCAAATTAGAAATTGCTCAGCATGATGGTCAACTTTATATATCAATTTAGATGTGCTATGGTACCCAGATGTTTGGTCAATTATTCTAGATGTTTCTGTGAAAGTATCTCTTAGATGAGATTAATGTTTAATTCAGTCAGGGATGAGGCCCACCTACGTTATGGAGGACAATGTGCTTTTCCTCAATACCCACTGATTTAAACATTAATCTCATCTTATTTCAGTCCCATCCCTACTCATTCTCTCAACTCTTTCTGGAATGGACAAAGGAACTTGAGATTTGAGATTTGAGGAGATTTGAGCCTTACTCACTGAGATTATTGCATGTACCCATCCTGTCTGGGTTGGATCAGTCAGTGGAGAGGAACAACAGAGATAACTTAGCAGATCAGGGTGCAGTAGATTCATTATTTAACTTTGAATAAGTAATATCACTTTTTGGGTTTATCTTCTCAACTACAATAGATTGGGCTCCTGGATGCATCTTCTGAAATATCTTTCAGTATCTCAAATTCTGTGATTCTTCTAGGCTTGAGGAAGACTATTTAGCCCCTTGAGTTAAAAATGGATGGAGAAAGAATAATGAAGTGGGTATTGAAGTTCAGTATGTCAGGTATGAGATTAGATTAGTGCATACCTGTAAGAAGATGAAGACCTAGATGTTAGTGGCCACCATGGCAGTGACCAAAACAGAGAGAAAACAAGGCCGATGCCGAAGGAGGCTAGGGCCCCTTGGAAGCCACTTTCAACCTTCCTTCCTTCCTTCCTCTGTTCTTCCCTGTCTTCTACACTCATCCTCCAGGAACTTTCCATTTGTCCACAGAAGGAGGCAACAGCGATCACTCTGAGGGAGGGTCTGGAGCAACTCCTGCTTAGCTGAAAAGCACTGCACATCAGCCTTGTGACCTCTTCCTCTGAATGCAGCTGCGAGGCCTCTGGGACAGTGGAAGGAAAAACAAATGGAATCACAGATGTCGTAAAAGTGCTGGGTTTTCATCTGTGGAATGAAAGGCTCAAGCATTCCTGGTTTTGGTTTTATTTTCAAGACAGGGTCTCTCAATGTATTCTAGGCGGTCCAAATTTGCAGTGATTCTCCTGCCTCCATCTCTGGTGATGGGAGTAACCGGGTTGAGTCACTGCGCAGCCCCTCCTTCATTGTTTCTGTTTGACTGATTCTGACGTCCATTTTTCTCTGCAACACACACTGACTTTAGTTTCTACAAAATTTCTCTTTCTTTTTTTTTTTTTTTTTTTTTTGGTACCGGGGACCGAACTCGGGTCCTTGAGCTTGCGCAGCAGGCGGCGAAACCACTGAGCTAAATACCCGGCAATTTCTACAAAATTTCAATGAAGCAGTCTAGCATGGTAGCTCGCGTCTGTTAGCTTAGTAGTCTGGGAGGCTGAGGCAGGAAGATGACAAGCTGGAGCCTGGTGTGGACAATTTAGCAAATAAGCTAGACGCAAAATAAAAATTTAGGATGTGGGGAGGAGCTAGGGATGTGCTTTCCAAGCCATTCGGGGGAGGGGCGGCTCTGTGAGAGAGCAGCACCTCGGGAAGCGCACACTGTCACTGCAGCCCGGGAAACTGGCGGCCACCCCAGCCCAGCCAGGTACTCTCCTAGGGCCCCCTGGGACCGGCCAGGCCTTTCCATTTTCCCGCCTTGTCAGAATCCACTCCTGGGCCCTTTGCCCTCGGCCCCGCCTTCGTGCCCAGCACTCTCTGACGCCCCGACCCACCCTCCCGCCCCGTCCTTCCGGGCGCCACTTCCCCCTCCCCGCCCGCACGTCCCAGCGGTGGGAGGTGGAGAGGCTGGCCCGGAAGGGGGCGGGACCAATCTCCTTGGCGCCGCGTTGCCATGGTAGTGGGCAGGAGGGGAGGAGGGGGGAGAGGGGTGTGAGGTGCCGCCGCCGGCTCTCAGCAGCTCCGCTGCCTGCTCGCGGCCGCGTCTACCCGGAGGCGGCTGCTGAGGCCGCGGGAGCCGAGGCGGTCCCTGCCATATTGTGTGCTCCCGCTAGCCCTCGTCGCGGCGGCCGCGCTCACGGTGAGTCCGGGCGGGCGCGCGGCTGTCCCGTGACGCGCGCCGACGTTTTTGCCCCGCGAGGACTGAGCGCGGGGGAGTCCCGGCTCGCGGCTCGGGCCGAGGGCGTCGAGGCGAGTTCCGAGCTCCGCCCGGAGGTAGCTGCGCGCCCGGGAGCGCTGAGGGAAGTGGCCGAGCCAGTCGTGCGTCCTCGCTCACCGCGTCCGGCGGGAAGTGAGGTGGTCTCAGGGGCTCGGCGGGCGGCTGGGGTCCCCGGCGGGCGGCGAGCCGACTTCTCCCGCTCCGGCGGCGGCCGGGCCTCGGGGCAGCAGTCGCTGCGAGCTGGGACCCGGCGTTTGCGCGCCGCGACAGGGACTCTTCCTGCTCGCCGCGGGCCCAGCGCGGGTCGGACGCCGCAGCCGGGAGCGCGGGACAAGTCCGCGAGCGTGGGGCGCCCCCACCCCGCCGGCCGCGCCCGACCCCGCGGGGCGCCCGGACCCCACCGCTGCTCCCGGAGTCCGCGGCGAATTCCTCGGAAAGCCACACTTTCGGGATCTTCTTGCACTTTAGTCTCTCGCTGTACTTCGTTTCCTCCTCATGGGGAAAAAGTATTAGCGTGCAAACAAGTGACACAGACTTTCTTCTACCCCAACTCCGAGGTGCGGGAGGAGGTGGGTATTTATTTCCAGCTTCCCGGCTGCTGCCTCTCCGGTGGTGACAGCCACGTGGCCGCCGAGTGCAGCAGGCGGAGCGCTCCAGCGGTTTCTCGGCTGAAGCTTTCCTGGGAGCTCCGGGCTTTGCACTAGCCCTGTAGCTTCGCACACAAACCTGGTGTGTTCTGAGATGGGGAAAACTGAGCTGTTCGTTTCACCCAAATCTTAAGACTTACTATTTTTTTTTTGCCATCCTGGCAAGGTGTATTTTTGCATCCCCTATCGTTTTGGTGATTCATCTTTAAAATCTCAGTAGTGTTAGGTACCATCAAAGAGTGTTTGGGGAATAATAGAATAGTGCATTATGGAATTAACCCCCCCCCCCCATTTGAATTTCAAAACCGTCACGAGAGGTTTTAATACGGTATAACCAGAAGTATTCACATTTGGTGCATTTCTTTTTTATAGTTTTAGAAAAATCTCATTTTTCCCTTTTGCATAAAAATTATGATGCAAAAGTCGTAAATTCACCGGTGAAAATACTTTTTTAGGGATAAAATAAATGCTAGTTGGATTTGCATATGTGCACTTTCTTATGCCTTTTTAAAAAAATTAGTTAATATCGGATGTTAACATGAACAGATTTGTTTGAAGGGAATGAAATTTACTTTTTAGACTATGTAAATGTGAAATGTCAAAGAGGTGAAGATAAACTTCTGGAAAGTTTGGAAAATTGTAAAATTTAAATATAATCCTAAATTTAAATATAATCCTTGGTTATTAACAGTGTTTCATTTTGTGAATGCTTGGTAGATTTGAATGATTTCTGTATATAATATGTTTTTATTTGAATCCATTTTGCTTGAAGAATTTTAAACCAGAAGAAAATGCTAACATCTGTAAAAAATTTGTATGAAGCCATACAGCACCATTTATTAGAATTTTAATTATGACAACTGTGTTTAGTCACAAATAGAGAACGATACTGAAGAGGTAGTGTGAATGTCAAAATACAGTTGAAAAACGAGTGTGCTGATCACTAAGCAGTGCTTAGTTGAGAAGAAAATAGATGATGAAATACTTATATAAAGCAGGAAGCACTGAATGTACTGCAAGATAACTTATTTAACAGCAGTAGGTATGGGATCGGTCAAAGTGAAACTTTAAAACATGCCGCTTAAACAGGACTTAATCTAATGGCACTTTATTGCCTAGATACTCTTTGTATGTATTTGTGTGTGTGTGTGTGTGTGTGTATTTTTAATGTCCTTTTTAAACTTTTAGATTGTTATTTTAGTAACTGGGCTTTGATATAAATTCAGAAAGGACCTCCAAAAGCAATTTTGAGAGCCCAATAGTTGACTGATATCTTAGGGAAGAAAAAGGTCTAGATTTGATCTTCTTAGGTTGAAGAGATTAACACGTAGAAATAAGTTTACAGTGTGAAAGGCTATATAGTTAGGAAGATCCAGGCAGGAGCTGTAAAGGTTAAAAGGAAAGGGAGCCCCTAGAAGTTTGAGTAGACAGAAGAGGATTGTTGTAGAGAGTAAGGCTTTCTAAAGTGGGGCCTTCGTGTTACCCCCATGAATCTTGCTGTAGATTAGACTACTCAAATGACCGTACCCCTAGTATCAAGACTGAATCCCACATTTCTTAAGACCTTTCATGTTTTGGCTCTAGTCTTTTCCCATCTTAGTTTTCCACTAACCTACAGAAACTATCCCTTATTCACTACCTCAGTGTGGTATGACAGTTTTACTTTATACCTATGCTGATAACATTTTTCTGTTGGACATGCACCTCTGTACATCCTCTTAACTACTGAAGATCTCTCAAGCTTGAGCCCTGGCTGAAATCAAAAGTCCTGTGGGCCTTAGAATCCTAGAGTTGTAGATCCACTTTCATGTTTCCAACTGAAATTTTTTTTCCCTTCTCTAACAACCTATAATTTTTTTGTGCTGTAGCATTCGATACTTCCTTGTTTGCATTTAGTGAATATTTTTTGAGCATTTACTACATGCCATGGCCTTTTATAGGAATTGAGGATACAGTTTTGAACAAGACAAATTCTCATATACTTTATTAGATATCATTCTAGGTTTCATCACCCCAACTGTATTATAAGGCCTTTGACTACTTAGAAGAGTCTGTTTTTGTCTGGTACTAGGGATCGAACTCAGGACCTTGCCCTTGTGATGCTGGTGTGGTGCCACTGAGCTAAATCCCTGACCTTTACTTAGAAGAGTCTTATTTTCTCAAATACATGGTATTCACTTAGTAAGAATTTTATTTTCTGAATAAGGAAAAGTAAGAGTTAAGGTGTGAGGCAGAGAGTTGGATGGAAAGAGATGTCAGTCTTTGCAAGTGAAGGGTGGAAAAGAATAGCCAATTATGGGTGGCTTTGTTTTGAGTTTTAATTTGGTTTAGTACCAAAGTTTTAAAAAAAAAACAAGCTGGGGAATGATATAAAACCTTTGTTTAAGCTGGTGTGGTGGTGCACGCCAGTAATCCCAACACTTGGGAGGCTGAGGCAGGATTGCTGCAAGTTTGAGGCCAGCCTGGACTACAAAGCAAGACCCTGTCTCAAAAAACCCTTTTTCACTATACAGACTAGAACGGAGAGAAATTGGAAAGACAGCTATGGAAGGAAAAACTAGTAATTGAGGGAGACTTGGGAGGGTACTCATTATCAAGAACATGGTTTACTGAGATGAGCAGGAGATATGAAAGTAAACATGACTTGTTTAAATACTGCATTGTTTCTCTGGTGTGAGAAACCAAAAGTGGAAATAAGGATCAAAAATGTATGCTAGATATTGGGAAATGGGAAGAAAATGTTCAAATGAGAAGGGAACAAGGAAAGAGGGAGGAGAAAAGGAAGGAAGGGACAAGAAATAAAGAATAGAAGAAAAAAATGGAAACAGTTTTTGTAAATAAGGAAGGGAAGAGGGGTTGAAGGGAGGGGAGGGGAATGGGAAAAAAGAATCAAGATATATCATGTACAGGTACAAATTACCTATGATGAATGTGATCATTATGTATATCTAAAATGTACCAATAAAAAAAAAATCACACACGAAAAAGAAAATGAACATTACCTATAAGTGACCACCCATTGAGGTATGGGGTAAGCTAGGTGAGGACTAATGTTAGAAATTTTTTTTTTTTAACTGAGTTAATAGTTGAAGTTGAACTAAGATGATCCTTAGGGAAACTAGCACTTAAGGACATTTTGGTCATAATTAACTTAATACTGTAGACTTGTGTAATGCCTATGGTATTGGTATATTAATACTCTTATTTCTACTGTATGAGAATTTTTTTTTTTTTTTTTTTGTACCGGGGATTGAACTCAGGACCTTGCGCTTGCAAGGCAGGCGCCGGAACCACTGAGCTAAATCCCCGGCCCCCAATTTTTTTTTTTTTTTTGGTACTGGGGATTGAACTTGGGACCTTCCGCTTGCAAGGCAGGCGGCAGAACCACTGAGCTAAATCCCCGGCCCCGAGAATGTTATTTTTGTCTTGCCACCATATGTAAAGGGACCAAAGAGAATGTTTTAATTATTCATTTCTAAAATATAATGATTTCTTGTTTTCCATATTTCCTTTATGCTAATTTTTAAATAAACCATTCATTTTAGAATAGGTTTTTTTGGCGGGGGGGGGGGTGGTGGTTGCTTTGTTTTTTGTTTATTTTGAGAAAGGCTCTTTCTATTTAATTTAGCCAGCATTGAACTCATTATGTAGCCCAGGCTTGGTATAGAACTCATGATCCTTATGCCTTAGCTTCTCAGGTTCTGGCTGTACTGTTTATGCACCACTACCCTGGCTTAGAATAGTTTTAAATTTACAGAAAATTTGCAAGATAGTACACATGTACCTCACCCTGTTTTCTCTGTTGTTGTTGTTTGTTTTTTTTTTTGAGGCAGGGTCTTGGTACCTGTTTAGTTCAGGCTGGCCTGAACTTACCATGTAGCCCAGGCCTGAAACTGACAGTGACCCTCCTGCTTCAGCCTCCCTCAGCATTCCCTATTGTTAAGTTCCTATATTACTGTTACATTTGTTACAACTAAGGAAACAAGATTGCTGTTATAATGCTATTAACTGAACTATACCTGTTACTTAGATTTCTTTAGTTTTCACCTAAGGTTTTTTGTTTGTTTGTTTGTTTGTCTTTTGGAGACAAGGTCTTACTGTGTAGTTCAGGGTGGCCTTGAACTCACAGCGATCTTCCTGCCTCAGTCCCCCAGTGCTGAGAGTACAGACAGGTGTGGGACACCATTCCCAACTCACCTAATAATATCCTTTTCTATTCCAGAATTCCAGTTTTTTGGATTTTTTCTGATTTTTGATGATGACGGTCTTAAAAGT